ACGGCGACCTGCTGCCCCTCGCCATCCAGGTGGGACCCAAAAACCCCAAAACTCACCCCAAAACTCACCCCAAAACCCAGAAACCCCAAAACTCACCCCAAAACTCACCCCGACCCCAAAAACCTCAAAAATGGACCTCAAAAACTCACCCCAAAACCCCAAAAACCCCAAAACTCACCCCAAAACTCACCCCAAAACCCAGAAACCCCAAAACTCACCCCAAAACCCCAAAACTCACCCAAAAACCCAAAAACCCACCCCAAAACTCACCCAAAAACCCAAAAAACCCAAAAACCCACCCCAAAAACCCCAAAACTCACCCCAAAACCCACCCCGACCCCAAAAACCCACCCCAAAACCGCAAAACTCACCCCAAAAATCTACCCCGACCCCAAAACCCCGAAAATGGACCCCAAAAACCCAAAAATGGACCCCAAAAACCCTCTAACGCTTTGGGGTCGCTGTGATGGTTTTGGGGTGTCACTTTTGGGGTTCCCCTGACCCTTTTGGGGTTCCCTGATGGATTTTTTGGGGTTCCCCTGATGGATTTTGGGTTTCCCTGATGGATTTTGGGATTCCCCTGATGGATTTTGAGGTTCCCTGATGGATTTTGAGGTTCCCTGATGGATTTTGAGGTTCCCTGATGGATTTTGGGATTCCCCTCAGGATTTTGGGGTTCCCTGATGGATTTCGGGGTTCCCTGATGGGTTTTGGGATTCCCCTCAGGATTTTGGTGTTCCCTGATGGATTTTTTGGGGTTCCCTGATGGATTTTGGGGTTCCCTGATGGATTTTTTGGGGTTCCCTGATGGATTTTGGGGTTCCCTGATGGATTTTGGGGTTCCCTGATGGAATTTTGAGGTTCCCTGATGGATTTTGGGATTCCCCTCAGGATTTTGGGGTTCCCTGATGGATTCTGGGGTTCCCTGATGGATTTTTTGGGGTTCCCTGATGGAATTTTGAGGTTCCCCTGATGGATTTTGGGTTTCCCCTGATGGATTTCGGGGTTCCCTGATGGATTTTGGGGTTCCCTGATGGATTTTGGGATTCCCCTCAGGATTTTGGGGTTCCCTGATGGATTTTTTGGGGTTCCCCTGATGGATTTCGGGGTTCCCTGATGGAATTTCAGGGTTCCCTGATGGATTTCGGGGTTCCCTGATGGATTTTTTGGGGTTCCCTGATGGAATTTTGAGGTTCCCCTGATGGATTTTGGGATTCCCCTCAGGATTTTGGGGTTCCCCTCAGGATTTCGGGGTTCCCTGATGGATTTTGGGATTCCCCTCAGGATTTCGGGGTTCCCCTCAGGATTTCGGGGTTCCCAGCTGGATTTTGGGGTTCCCTGACAGATTTTTTGTGTTCCCAGCTGGATTTCGGGGTTCCCCTCAGGATTTTGGGGTTCTCAGCTGGATTTTGGGGTTCCCAGCTGTATTTTGGGGTTCTCAGCTGTATTTTGGGGTTCCCAGCTGTCCCAGGAGCCGGGTCCCTCCGCGCCCATGTTCGTGCCGCAGGACCCGCCGTGGCTCTGGGCGCTGGCCAAGGCCGGGGCTCCCCTCAGGATTTCGGGGTTCCCTGATGGATTTTGGGGTTCTCAGCTGTATTTTGGGGTTCCCAGCTGGATTTTGGGGTTCTCAGCTGTATTTTTTGTGTTCCCAGCTGTCCCAGGAGCCGGGTCCCTCCGCGCCCGTGTTCGTGCCGCAGGACCCGCCGTGGCTCTGGGCGCTGGCCAAGGCCGGGGCTCCCCTCAGGATTTTGGGGTTCCCCTCAGGATTTTGGGGTTCTCAGCTGTATTTTGGGGTTCCCAGCTGTCCCAGGAGCCGGGTCCCTCCGCGCCGGTGTTCGTGCCGCAGGACCCGCCGTGGCTCTGGGCGCTGGCCAAGGCNGTGTTCGTGCCGCAGGACCCGCCGTGGCTCTGGGCGCTGGCCAAGGCCTGGGTGCGCAGCGCCGAGTTCCAGGTGCACGAGGGGCTGACGCACCTGCTGCGCGCCCACCTGCTGGGAGAGGTGTTCGCCCTGGCCACGCTGCGCCGGCTGCCCCCGCAGCACCCGCTCTTCAAGGTACCCCCCGGAAAAATTCCGAAAATCCTAAAGAAATCCCGCTCGGAAAAAACAAACGGGAAAATAATCCTGCCTGGAAAAACCAAACAGCAAAAAAATCCTGCCCGGAAAAACCAAACGGGAAAAAAATCCCGCCTGGAAAAACCAAACAGCAAAAAAATCCCGATTGGAAAAACCAAACAGCAAAAAAATCCCGATTGGAAAAACCAAACGGGAAAAAAATCCCATTTGGAAAAACCAAACAGCAAAAAAATCCCGATTGGAAAAACCAAATCGCAAAGAAATCCCGCCTGGAAAAACCAAACAGCAAAAAAATCCTGCCTGGAAAAACCAAACGGGAAAAAAATCCTGCCTGGAAAAACCAAACGGGAAAAAAATCCCGCCTGGAAAACCCAAATCGCAAAGAAATCCCGTCCAGACAAACCAAACAGCAAAAAAATCCCAATTGGAAATCCCAAACAGCAAAAAAATCCCGATTGGAAATCCCAAACAGCAAAAAAATCCCGCCTGGAAAAACCAAACGGGAAAAAAATCCCGCCTGGAAAAACCAAACGGGAAAAAAATCCCGCCCGGAAATCCCAAATCCCCAAAAATCCCAGCCCCAAACCCCCAAAATTCCTGTTCTGAAAAGTCCCAAATCCCAAAAAATCCCGGTGCCCCCCCATGTCCCGGTGC